TTACGTTTAACAGACAAGTCAATATTGGTTAATAGTTAGAGTAAAACTTCAAATAAAAGCTCATCCCAATTTAAGGCCCAGTACCAGCCTGGTGTTGCTGCATGTTTTGGCAAAATAAGACAGGTCTCCATTAGAGGCCCGAGGCATTCAGTGTTGGAAAACTTTGTGAATCAAAAACAAGTAGAAAAAGCAGCAAGACACAAAAAATAAAGATGAAATACATCATGTGTCCAATAAAGACATATAATGCTCATGTGAATGCCATGAAGCAGGTTGCATGCTGCTTTAAAAAGCAACATCAAATCAGTGATTTATTGAAGTTGTTAATCGATATCTTAATTTTGTGTACATTTAAGTGTTCATTCTGGTGTACATTTATCATTTCATGGTCTTTCCCATCTTTGTTGTGCACAAGTTTTTGTTTGAAAATTATGACAGGCCCGTCTTGTATTGAAGCTTGTCAAGGCAGGGTCGCCTCATTGCAGGACCATATAGCTAGCTATTAAAGAGCCCATATTATGCCCTTTTTGGGGTTCGTATAATTAATCTATGTACCTACTTTTGTACATTCACAATAGCTAAAATTCAAAAAAAGGGTCTGTTTTCATGTACTGCTCCTCCTTGCTCCCTCTACACTCTGAGTCCGTCAGCTACACTCTGTAGTGCCTGCACGTGGGCCAAGTCTGCTCTGACTGGTCTGCCGATCCGCTCTGTTGTTATTGGTCAGTTGCTCAGCACGCTTCTCGGAAATCTCAACATGAGCTGCAGGGCTTGCGACAACGAGCCAATGGACTTAGATCAGTGATCTCACACTGACAATGACGCCGCACTGACACATTTTTATCGAGGGGGGCTAGAACTGAGCGTTACATGCAGCTAATGCTACAGCTAACAGGAGGACGTAGGAGAAGCCGCGTTTCTGCGGACTTTGAATTTTTGCACATAGATGTGCCTAAACATGCACAGGACACTTGGAAAACACACTAAAGAGCATATAAAACCAGAAAAATCATAATATGGGACCTTTAATACAAGTTTTCGGGAGGTTATTAGGAGTGAGAAATAATACAAACCAACCTCAATTAATGTACCCGTCCATCCATCCATTCACACATCCATCCATTCATTCATCCATCAATCCATCCATCATCTAATAACACATCCATCAATTCATCCATCCATCCAATAACACATCCATCTATCCATCCTTCCATCCATCCATCTAATAATACATCCATCTATCAATCCATCTATCTAATAACACATCCATCCATTCATCCAATAACACATCCATCCATCTATCCATCCTTCCATCCATCTAATAATACATCCATCTATCAATCTATCTATCCAATAACACATCCATCCATCCATCCAATAACACATCCTTCCATTAATCCATCCCACCATCCATCCAACCCTCCAACCCTCCATCCATCCATCCATCCATCCATCCATCCATTAGCCCAATACAGCATATGAAAAGGGCTTACTTCCTTTTTATGTTCCCCCTGATGTAAATTGGTGCATTATAATGTGCCATGACTGAGCAATCACGTATTACTCCATCATCATCTTATGTACTCTTGGTAATCCTAAAACAAATGATCCTAGATTACTGCTGTTTTTATTTCAACAGCAGTTGGATCTGTGCAATGAAGATGTAAAGCAACATCAACAAAACAAGAGGATTAAAAGTCAGCTCAGACAGGCAAACCTTGTTTGGAAACACGTTCTTTTGTCTCTTATATAACTGCATCACACACTCTTCAGATGACTGCGTGTTACAGAAAGGTTCAGTTTCATTGATTTAGTGACTGTAAGACACTCATCAGTCATGTCGTTTTTGTTATTACATTAAGCACAAAGACTTGTGTGTGTGTGTTGAAATCAGAAGGTTGAGGATAAAGATAGACTGAGGAAGCTTAGAAGCAGCGCGGTTACATCAGAGTGAGCTTGTGGCTTGCATTTAAGCTCATATTTCATAATGTTACAGTAGGTCTTTCTTACCTGTCTCTATCAGTTTGTATGAAACATCCACTCATGCCAACACCCAGACATTGAACTGGATTAATTATCGTCTGCACTAACCACTCTGCCTTTTGTGACTCTGCCGGGATACGCTTACATATACTCATACAAACACATTTATCAGGTGGTTTATTGAGTGATATAAAGTATCTTATAAAAATATCCATCCTTGTGTGGCAACCCTTAGATAGATAGATGGGTGAGAGGGGGTCTTAGTGATCAGGGTGAAGGGGGTGAAATGGGTCCTCTGTGATCAGGGTGAAGGGGGTGAGAGGGGTCCTCAGTGATGAGGGTGAAGGGGGTGAGAGGGGACCCATACCCATAGGTCATGACCATAGGTGAGGGTTGGAACATAGATCGACCGGTTAATCAATAGATTTGCCTTCAGGCTCAGCTCTTTATTCACCACAACAGTTCGGCACAATGCCTGCATTCGATCTCACGGTCCATCCTATACCTCATGCATGAACAAGACCCCCGAGATACTTAAACTCCTTCACTTGGGGCAAGGACTCACTCCCCACACGACGAACCATGGACCAAACCGTCAAACAAAAGCCCAATTGTCCAATTATATGTAATGCCTTTAAGGGAAAATTGCAACACAATGCGAAATAAGTTAAGTCTGTCCACTTTCCTTTTCTATTTCTCATTTATTAAAAGCTCAAAAAGTCTAAAAGTTGCTCAAAATGTATGGCAATGTATGCTCTGCAAGTCTGCAAATACTTGGCAGTCACTTGCTTATGTGTCATCTTTATTGTAATTCTTTAAAGTAGAAATCATGAAAGAGAGAGAAGAAATATCCTGCGTCTTCTACAAGGTTGGTTAAATTCAGTCCAAGTCAGACACAAATTGATGAAACAACATACCGGGTCATAATATTATTCATTCAACTCTGCTTAATTCAAAAACAAAAACACTTTTATTAAAACATGTAGTTACACATTTATTTTCTTATTGGTGTATTAAATACACTAACCAATACCTCAGACAACCTACTATTTAATGATTTTCTAGGAGGGAAAAGTAGAGGATGGAGGCATATTGGATGACATACTACATCTCTTGTTATTAAAGGTTTTCACATTTCTGCACACAACCAGTGGTGTATTAAATAATCCCCAAAACCTTAACCAATACTTTTTAATAATGGTTTTCTTTAATGAAAATAAGGTATGGAGGCGTATGTATGAGGTACTACATTTCTTGTCATTATAGGTTTTCACATTTGTGGGCAGGAACATGTCGGCATTTAGGTATTTTTAACTGTGAGCTCCCTCTGCTGTCCATTAAGGGACTCTGCACCTCAGCATTTTCAAACCCTCTCTACATGTTTTTTCAAGCCAAACCTGGAACATGATTACAAATGTATCTTTACACAGCGCTCGCTGTGGGTGTAATGGATATAAGGTTATGTACTAAGTTAAACTAATAATACATGTTAAAACTAGTGTCTTTCTAAAATGTTATATATCCTTCTAAAAAGCTAGTTATAAATTAATGTTAATTCATGTTCCTAAGGTTAAGTTTAAAAGCATATTGGTAATTGATTGGTTTGGTCTTAAGCTTTTGTTATTGTTTTACACTTGTTTTACTTATTGTTATTATTTTACTGTCTGAGCGTCATTCATTACACCATTGAATGAAAGCTGGCAACACTGTGTTTTTTTCTTTCTTCTTCATTTCTCCCCTTACAGGTAAGAGTACTGGTTAAAAGTGAATAAAACCAAGTATAAATGTATTGTAAGTTTTCGGGAACAAGTTAGTGATATGTTTTCTGTATACAAAGTAATTTCAGTATGTTTATGAAGCGTGTTAAGTATGAATGTGTTTGCCGTGATGCGTGCATGCTAGCTTGAATCACACAGACAGAGCGCGATAGAGAGACGTGTAGTGCGTCTACTGAGAGTGTGTTATTTAAGTTGTATTGGTCAGTTGAACAATTACAGTTACATGGTACAGTTTAAAGAAATATCACTCTGCAAATGTGTATGTGTATAACTACTAATGCAACTAAGAAAGAGTTAAATATGTTAACATAAAACAAGCAATGGATTATACAGTATTGAGAAATGCTAGCCTGTTATATCACAGATGTAAAGGTGTTAAACAGTGCATGTATGTTTGTCTAAGTGTATAATTGTATACAATGAAAATGTGATGTGTTATTGCATATTATTCATTACACCATTGAATGAAAGCCAGCAACAACGTGTTTGTTTGTTTCTTCTTATTATGTACATTTCTTGTATAAGTCTATTTTTTATTATGTACATTTCTTGTATAAGTCTATTTTTTAATTGCACAGTTTAATTTTGTTTCATCTAGATTAAATCTTTTTTCGGGTTAATATATATGTATGGGAGTGTGTATTTCAGCCATGTGTGTGTGTATCATGTTCAACAACAGAGTATAAAACTGAATTTACCCTTGCGGTATTAATAAAGTATATCTTCTTCTTCTACTCTCACACAGTGAAAGCAGAACCAAGAGCCGATTCCCAAACTTTAAGGACTTTTCCTCCTGATTGCACCTGTGCAAACCGAAAGATTGATGTGTGCTCCCCCTAATGTCATGAAAAATATGTGATGGAAGCTGTGAGAGTAAGAGCATTTTTGACTGTGTTTGTATTCAAGCAGTGCATATGAGACGTCTACAATACACATAGATCTGACTTTTACTTCCATCTGTTGAAGCTTTTAAAGGTAACTTTGTTGTCATTGTGCAGTCCAGATTTAACACAAACAGTGTGAGCACTCATGTCATGCTTGATATTTAGACCGTCCAGTGTAAGCCCGTCATTTGTGAGCTTTGGTTTTGCGTCATAAACGATTCACAGTGTGAGTTAAAGTTCCACCTCAACAGTTATACAATCATAGAGTGAATGCTCGGCTTAAGTCATGAGAAGCAATGATTACAGCTCAGGCTTATGCCTTCAGTGTCCTGAATGAACGAACACGAAGCTGGATTTCATTCGCCTATATGTGTCAGATACACTGAAGCTGGTGATAAAGTCGAGTCGGTCATCACCTCAAGCATCCGTCCAAACCCGAAGGCAGGGAAGAGGGGTTCTGTGAACGTTGAGTGGAAGGTGTGGAGGTGGGTTGGTTTGACTGAGGAGACTATGGATGGGAGACAGTAGAAGGACACAGTGCCAGCAGGCCAGTCCAGATACACTGCTACCCCATTAGAACAAGAGACCTGGGGTTTAGTTATCTCTGTTGGTGTGTTATTGTGCCAGGCAGTGTAACCCTGAGGGGAGCAGACCAGACTCCAGGACTGATCGTTCCATCCAATGCAGCAGTCATCACCATCTCCTCTCCTGTTGATGCCACTGTAAGTCACTCCTATGTTTACCCTTCCATTGTACTTGACCTCCCAATAACTACGTCCAGTGAGGCCTTGATCGCACAGCAGCTGTTTCCAGGTGTCAAATCTGTCCGGATGATCAAGATACAGCTGCTTTTCTCTTACCAACATCACTCCTTTGTTGTCGTCAGAAAGCAACAGGTTCCTATCTGCTGTGATGGGGTCCAATATAAGCTCAATGAAATCTGATGGAGGGAACAAGAAACAAAAACAAGTTGGCAACCCATTGATTCTGTTCTTCTACAGGTTTTTGGTAAATGCTATTTGAATTAAATGTTTATATTCGTAGGCATAATCAAGTATGGTGAAGTCATCTTCAATCAATAAATCATATAATCAATCATTATGAAGAAAATGAAAAACTTTAAAAAAGGGCAGGTTTAGAAACTAATCATTGTTAAATTTTTTAGAGGAACCCAACATAATCAAGCGTTTGGTAACAGTGGCAATGAAAAACGTTCCTTTAAATGGCTATGAATTTGAGATTGTATCGCGCTTTGCTAGTCTTCTGACTACTCAAATTGCTTTTTACACCGCAGGTCACACCTACACATTCACACACTGATGGTAGAGGCTGCTATGTAAAGTATCCATCAGAAGTAACTAATCTGATTAATACACATTCATATGTCGCTGATGATGCAACAGTTAAGTATCTTGCCCAAGGACACAACAGACATGTGGCTGCAGGAGTTGGGGATCAAACCCCTGACCTTCCAGTTGAGAGATGGCTGACTCTACCAACTGAGCTACAGCCGCTTTTCTATTTTATAATGGGATCAGTGACGTAAGAAAGTATACTATAAAGTATAACTTACACCTAAGTAGTGATGGCTTCAGCCGATCTTTTCCACAATGATCAATCCTATGGAAGAGGAAGGAAATGATAAACGAAAATGAAGGACAATAAACAAACACTTAAACAAACACTTTAACACTAGCCTCATATGTTGCCATAATGAAATGATGTGTAATTATGTTAAGTACACTACTTGAGAGTTTCCAGTTTCCACTGTCGGTTATCCATTCCAGCACGGAGCAGCTTCACTCCTGAGTCTCCCGGATGATTGTAGCTCAGGTCCAGCTCTTTCAGATAGGAGGGGTTTGAGTTAAGAGCTGAGTCCAGAAAAGTGCAGCCTTTCTCTGTGACCAGACAGCCTGAGAGGCTGCAAATACATAAACAAAGATTCATTTTTTTTTTATTCAGCTCATCGCTTTCCTTTTTGATAAATGTTATAGTTAGGGCTGGTGCTGGTGTAGACCAGCTCCTAGTTATGCTGCTATAGGCTTAGACTACCGGGGGAACTGGCACCTTGAGCTCTTATCTCTCTCTCTCTCTCTATCTCTCTCTGTGCATATACAGTACATCATATTACTGCATGTATCTATCTGTAAATCTCAGTCACTAACCACCTACTTTCCTGGGAGCTCTTGAGCTCTCTTAGGCTCCTCGAGATCGTTGGTTGACGGCCTGCCAGAACAAGATTTCTGGCAGGCCGATTTTAATAAGGCAGTTTTTTCTTACCATTGTAACTTCTGCTGCTTTGCTAAAGTGCTCATGATGGATAGTCTGGGTCTTTGTAATATAGCAATAAGTAAGGTCTTTTACCTGGTTTTTGTAACATAACAATGAGTAAGGTCTTTTTACCTGCTCTTTTGTCATGTTAAAAGACAAAGAGTAAGGTATTTTACCTTCTTTTTGTAAAGTGTCTCGAGATAACACTTGTTATGAGTTGACGCTATACAAATACAAATTGATTGATTGATTGAATTGATCATACATGTCATAAGTCATGTGGAGTATACAGGATGAAATGTAGACAGGGGGTGCGTTCGAATTGTCCCTCCTATCTGCTTTCACTATCCACTTTACCTTAACCCCGGAAGCATTTAAGTGGCGGCCATGATAAGAGCCATTCGAATTCTCTAAAAGTTAAGGAAAGGTGGGTCAATGCTTCCTTTATAACCTCCTTTAGCATAGGATACACTGGACCATCCTTTACGAAAGGAGATGAGATATGCCACCCCACAATTCCTTGCGGCCGCAACATTTAAAGCGAGTCGCGCATCCGACCGTTCACGGAAATGAATGATGATCGTAAAGTGACACAGATCATGTAAGGGATAAAAGATAAGAGACATTTTAATCCAGATGATGTTTTATTCAACATATTTCATTCACTTAAGAATGCTTTGTGCAGTTGTACATTTGTATGCTTAAAATATTATGTGTAGGCTATATCTTACATAAATGTAACAATTAATTTCATACAATCATATTTATGTTGATGTTGATTTATGAGTGGACAGGAAGGTGATGGTTTCACTTTTGTTACTTGTAGCCTGGTAACCTATATTTCTTTTATTTCAATCCCAACCTTGTGTTAATTAGGATTATTTCACCGGTAAGAAGGCACAGGGGAAAGTTTTTTAGATGCGTTTTTTGTAGTCCATTTTCGGAACATTGTAGTTTCAACACGGCGGACCCGCGTCATTAACCTCCGCCGGCCCATCGCATTTAATGACGTCGCCTAGTGGAAAATGCGGTCGGATTGTCAGAGCAACGAAATCGCCTTTCCCTAAGTCCTTTATGAATTCGCCGAACATCTTTCCTTGACCTCATGACGTTTTTGCGGGGTTAAGGTAAAGTGGATAGTGAAAGGAGCTAGGAGGGACAATTCGAACGCACCCAGACTTTTGGTCTTACAGGGGAATAGATCTATGATGTCCTCAGTCAAATGTTTGTTTGACATATCTATCAGCCCAGTTGTCTCCTTAATGAGACCTCAACTCAACTCAACACAACTTCAACCTTATCTGTCCCCAAAGGGTGATTGGTTTTGCGGCAAGGCAGAATAAGACACAAAAGCCAGCATGGCAGAATGCAAGTTGCCTTAAATATAACAGCCTTTGAGAAACAACCGAATTCCTTGACTGAGGCTCTTAGCAGCTTCCATTAGAATAAAGTACCAACATGTGAGTCAACATGAAGTATAAACAGGTCACTGTTAAATAAAAATTAAAGATAAAAATGTGCACATTCCAACACAGTCAAATACATTTATATAATTTTGACACACATAATCCAAACTCCAAATAGGTTACTTGAGTGGGGAACAGTCCTGTCCTGGTTATTTCATATATTTCTTTGAGACACTTGCTGTAAATTGATATCATGGTTGTTTTAAAATGGTCAACAAGCTTTACTGACGTGTAATGTGAACGGTTATGATAATACTTTCATTTATTCTTTATCTTAAATAGAGAACTGACCTTAGAATCTCCAATCTACAGTGAGGACTCTTCAGTCCATCTGAGAGTAACTCTACTCCTTTATCATGCAGGTCATTGTTACTTAGGTCCAGCTTCCTCAGAGAAGAGTTCATGGAGGACAAAACTGGGGTCAATGCTGCACAACTTCTACTCGAGAGGTTACAGCCACTCAGCCTGAAAAAAGAAAGAGAAAATGTTTGAGAGTGAAATGTTTCCTTGTTCTCTGTAGTTATTTATGACATTTTATCTGCATACTTACATGGAGGTTTTGGAAGCTTTAACCACTGGCAGCAGCCTCAGCAGTCCCTTCTCTGAGGCAGAGAATTGCCTCAGGTCAATCTCATCAAGATCTTTTTGTGACGACAGTAAGATAAAAATGAGCGCTGAGCACTGTGCAGGAGAGAGTTCGTTTTTAGACTGACTTCCAGATCTCAGGTATTGTTGCATCTCCTCTACCAGAGAGAGGTCATTCAGCTCATTCAGACAGTGGAACAAATTGATGCTCTTCTCTGGAGAAGGATTGTCCTGGATCTTCTTCTTGATGTACACTGCAACAGTGTCCTGTGGTTTGCCTCTTGTCTTGTTCAGCAGGCCTCTTAGCAGTGTCTGATTGGTCTCCAGTGAAAGTCCCAAGAGGAAGCGGATAAACAGGTCCAGGTGTCCATTTGGACTCTGTAAAGCCTTGTCCACTGCTCTCTGGTAGAAATGTTTAAAGCTAGAACTATGCCCTAATGGCAGAGGCTGTATTGAGGCAAACTGTTTTTTTCTCAGAAGGTCATCGCCATGGTTGATGAACGTCAAAAAAACATAAAGTGCTGCCAGAAACTCTTGAATGCTCAGATGCACAAAGCTGAACACTTTATCCTGGCTTGGCCCATGATACTCTTCTTTGAGGATCTCTGTGAATAGTCCTGAGTAGACCGAGGCAGCATGTATGTCTACTCCACACTCTTTTAGGTCTGCTTCACAGAAGATAAAGTTTCCTTTTTCCAGCTGCTCGAAAGCCAGTTTCCCCAGAGTGAGAATGGTCTTAATGGACTTTGTGTTCCAGACTGAATCTGTTGATGCATCGCTGTGATACTTGACATTACCCTGTTTGGTCTGAACCACTAGGAAGTGGATGTACATCTCAGTCAGGGTCTTAGGAAGTTCTCCCCTCTCTCTGGTTTTCAAAAGCTCATCTAAAACCGCAGCATTGATCCAGCAGAAGACCGGGATGTAGCACATATTGTGGAGGCTTTTGGATGTCTTAATGTGGGAGATGACTCTGCTGGCCTGCGCTTCATCTCTGAATTTCTTCCTGAAGTACATTTCCTTCTGAGGGTCACTGAACCCTTTCACCTCTGTCACCATGTCAATGCATTCAGGCGGGATCTGATTTGCTGCTGCTGGCCGAGTTGTTATCCAGATGTTGGCAGAGGGGAGTAGCTTACCTCTGATGAGATTTGTCAGCAGCACTTCAATTGAAGTTGGCTGTGTGACATCAGTTAGGATCTCATTATTGTGGAAGTCCAGAGGAAGCTGACACTCGTCCAAACCGTCAAAGATAAACACAACATTGAGCTCATTGAATTTGCAGATTCCTGCTTCTTTGGTTTCGGTAAAGACGTGATGAAGAAGTTCCACCAAGCTGAACTTCTTCTTTTTCAGCAAATTGAGCTCTCGGAAAGTAAATGGAAATATAAACTGAATATTTCTGTTGGCTTTGTCTTCAGCCCAGTCCAGGATGAACTTCTGCGTCAGGACTGTTTTCCCAATGCCAGCCACTCCCGTTGTGACCACGGTTCTGACTGGTGCAGCTCCCTCAGGCAAAGGCCCAAATATATCCTCACATCTTATGGTTTTCTCTGAACTTGCTGATTTTTGTGAAACTGCTTCTACCTGCCTGACCTCATGTTGATCATTCATCTCTCTGTTTTCTCCTGCTGTGATGCACAGCTGCGTGTAGATGTGATTTAGGAGGGTCGGGTTTCTTGCTTTTGCTATTCCCTCAAACAGATACTGAAAGTTCCTCTTTAGTCTTGACTTTAGCTTACGTTGACAAATCACAGCAAGAGTTTCTGAGGAAAGAACAAATATCATCAGCTAATGGATCCTCAGATAAATGTGAATGTGAATAACATAACCAGCGTGATATGTCAGTGTCAATCTCAAGTGTATTTTGGCTTCACTTTGTACAACAGAAGGAGATGGAGACACTTTGTCCATATTGATATACAGTCAGAGATAACCCCAATATCCAATGTTGTGCTAAATTAACTTACTGCGCTGCAGAGAGTTAGCCAGGGTCTCCTGCTTTATTCTCCTCAGGAAACTCAGAGTGATCTTCAGAAATGCTTCTTTGTTGCTTCTCTGATCTTCTTCTTCACCAACCATGTCGTCGTCTTCATCCTCTCTTAGCTTCCCTAAGCATTCTGCATCCAGCACGTTCCTGAACCCTCTCAGCTCATTCTTCACAAAAGTCACAATATTCTCCTCAAGAAGCTAGATGAGGAAAAGCACATGTTGATACAATGATGAGAGCGAAGAGCATGATATCCACCCAACTCTGCTGAAAGCTGACTCTGTACAAACTGAAATATGAAGACTCTTTTGTTCTGGGTGTCATTGTGCCAGGTATTTTCCCACAACCAACTGCTCCTATGAATTAAACATCCATACGGCAATACTTAACCTGCTTCCCACACAAACTTTTCTAAAAGATGTTGCTGGCAAAAACTGGCAAAATGCAGAGAAAGATAAAGTCTGCACACTAGAAACTGAAAAATGTCACTGTGTTAATAAATGATATGCCCATTTAGAAAACTTTTACAAAAATGTCAAATAGCATTCACATCCCAGAAGCTGAGTTCTTGGTGCTGGACAAAAAAACATCCAAATACAGAGATCGACTAAGTTCACACACCAGAAGCTGCTCCAGACATGAACAAGTGACTAGACACACCTCCAGATATAAATATCCCTGAGGTCACCTGATAGGCCGTGTCTATTCACATGTGGTGATTATTCCCATTAAAAGTGAATTGGGCATATAATTTATTGACAAAGTGACATTTCTCAGTTTCAACATCTGATATGTTGTCTTGGTGCTATTTCTGATGAACTGTGGGCTTTCAATTTCTGGAAAATCATCACTGTTTTTATTCTCATTTTACACTAAGTCCCATCTTTTTTTGGAATAGGGGTCTGTAATTGCATTCATGTTGGAAGCTTTCTTTGAAGTAAGAGAAGTTTCAGGTACACTAAACACGTCTCCCTGAGCGAGTCAACACAGGATGTTGTTTATCAGGACAAAGTGTTATGAGTGGAGATGTAAAAACAGGTTCATCAATGTGTCACAGTGGTATTTAAACAACATGGGACTCTGCCAGTGCTGGTATGTATTTTTGTAGGCCAACCCGGAAGTAGCATCACATGGGGCTCTGTGGCAAACGCACGTTTCTGAAGCATAGGTGTTTTGTTCAGCAGGATAATCTTCACAGATGAACACCATTTTTATGATGTTTGAAGCGTTAATGAGGCTGACAGAAGTAAAAAGCTAACGTTATGCTACAAGCTAACTACACCACGGTCGGATGATTGAGACGTCACTACCGTTATGCTTCAGACGATCTCCGATAAACTAATCTGCGTAGCTTAATAAATTGTTTACTAACCAAATATTTGCCTTAACCTAAAGATTAAACCTACATGAGACATCTCCGACTAGTGAGAGAGTTCCCGGCGTTCGTGTCCAGCGTGATGACGTTTAATGTCCCCGACAACCACTGTAGTCACATTTAGCCACTTGTTAGCAACCGCCTTTTTAAAGACGCGTAAAAACTTCAAAATTCAGAAGTGGGGGTATTACCTGACGTAGTTTATGTGGTCTAACAAAACGCCAACATCTCTTAAGCTTGTGTTAACCACAGACCTTATTTCAGGCGTCTCACCACAAACCCATTCAAAATCCCCATTGACTTTTAGACGTTAGACCTCATGGCGCTCAAATGCTAACTTACTTCTGGGTTTAAGGACTCATTCCTGTGGCACTCTATACCCTGATCAGAAGGTGTCATCATTTAGGTCAGAATGTGTGGAGCTTTTCAAGAGGGCTGACCTGAGAGACACTTAAAATGTATTTAAAGATCCAGTTAGGAGTTTTTAGCTGGTTATGAATTACATTGAAATGAACAGTAATGCCTCTTTATGACCTACAAAAGTAAACAAGACCATCAGCTAATAGTTGACTATTTCTACATAGCACTTTTTAATGTCTCAGACTGCTTGCACAGGGTAGTTGTCAGACAATTACAGCAGAGCTAAAGGAACCGCTATTTTTTTTACATTTTACAAAGAAAATGTTCCCAGTGTGTGTGACTGACAGCAGGATTAGACGTCCACAGGGGGGCACTAAAATCGACAGGTACCTTATATTCCTCACACATTACCTCACTCATCCAACTTTTCACATAGTAAAAGTCAATCTCACTACACATAATTTAAGAGGTGAAACGTAGTACATACTGTGAAAATGGAGTCCAGGTTTGTCAGATGTTTCCCGGAATGACGCTCACTGATGACCTCAGCTCTCCTCCTGTGAGGTCTGTTGACCCAGAATACACGAGATAGTTTCACCCTTCACACATGTTCTCAGTGATAATGATGCCTGTACTATGATGGAGAGCTGGAGTTACGTACTCAAGCAACCATTCAAAAATTCACACAGGAGGAACTGCTCAAAGAGAAACAGTTAATTACATTTCAAGGATGTTCTTATGTGATTATTTCCATCCAAATCACTCAACTTCAAGATTTGACCTTGTCTGACCTCCATCACATATCATATCCCTATACATACAGCTCTAACAGAAAATGTTCTTTACGGGAAATCAGTGTCTTCACCGTAGTTTATCCACCCTGAATGTTATTTATAAGTACTTCAACAGATGGTGTAGTCCGCTGTGATATTAAAGACATGATGTCCTGGGGGGAAAAGGTTTGTTCAGCATTTTGAGGTATAATAATAATATACAGCATATTTGTTTACTGCTCAGTGGTGCAGTGGTAACACCGTTACAGTTCCTCACTTTATTAGATCCATCCTATATCTTTACAAACACCACGAGTTAGATGAGAACTAAAACATCCCAGCACACCACAACATTAACGAGAAATAGTCAGCTGAACATTCTCTTCTTTGAAGTGTAGGAGGAAATGATTGCTGGGTTAGGGTTACAAGAATAATCCAAGAATAATGTTGAACGTAAACTACCTGCCAGTAACTGAAAGAGGAAGGAAGAAGAAAGAGCTGCAATTCAGGTTTTACCTGCTATGGAGCAATGTAAGGTAAGTAAAAACATCTTTAAATGTTATCATGAACTTTTATTATCAAAAATAAAAGACGTCAGTGCAATAATGAATCAATAAAATGACATCTGTGATTGGCAGTATTATGATGACGTCATCATTACTCATTAATTACTGTAATAGTGGGATTCTAGGTGGAGCTCATTTTGAACTTTTTAAGACTATAAAACTACAACTAGTAAACATTTTAATATGGATTATTCTGCTGATCATTTATTTAAGTAATCTGCTGATTCTCTGGGTTTATAAAATGTCTCAAAAGAGTTCAAGAATAAGACCACAAATACTGATAGCCTGTTTGAAAAACAGTTAAAATCTGAAACAATGAGAAAATGAATGAATGGAGTATGAAACAAGTATGAAACACCTGTCATTACTGTTTGTTGGGCGAACCTGATGAAGCTACAGACGAAACATGTTCGTTCACATTAAAGGGTCAGTTTTTTTATGACATAAACCCCATTTATACATTTATTTGATCATTTGATTTTGAATGGAACCAATTTGCATCATGATACAGTACGTTTAACATTTGTACTGTGAGAACTTCATGCTCTATATTCTATGCTTCTTCTGAATGTTTCACTTGGATGGTTGACTTCCACCATGCAGAACGATTTATCTGCATATATGAAGTTTGAAAGTCCCAAAAGCCGTTCATTTAAACACGATGAGAAACCTCAAAAACCTCCAGTGAAGATACAGGTTATTGCAGGTGAGTAGATTCACTTACAACATCACTGTGACTTAAATTCTCACCTTGGCTTGAACTTCGTCCAATCAACTCTGAACTCTATGGGTACACTCTTAAACCGCTCGCTCCTCATGGACACGAGGCTGGTTCCAGGTGGGTCTGGTCTCTCCTGGTTCACTTGGCTTCAAGACAAAATCAACATTTACCTTTCAAAGTAAAAGAGCCAATAGAATGAATGATTCTATTAAAAAATGTAGGATGTCCCTCATTGAATGCTGACATATTCTTGTCAAGTAGTCCATCCTTGAAATGAATTACAAATACAAAACAGGATAAAATGAGCTGATATAGTTTAACTATGTCTATTTACCATAAAAATCTTTTATGGTAAATGGACTTGAGCTTGTATCGTTCTTTTCTAGTCTTCTGACTACTCAAAGCACTTTTTACACCGCAGGTCACACCTACACATTCACACACTGATTGCAGAGGCTGCTGTGACCATCAGAAGTAACTAATCCCATTTATACACATTCATACACATGTATATGCTGCAGACGAAGCAGCAGGACCAACTTGGGGTTAAGTGTCAGATCAACTTCATGTCTAAATTCATTTTTTTCATCCAGAGCAGGAATTCTTTCTAGTATAATCTATAATTATCTTAAAATAACATGGCAAGCATTAACACTTAGTATTTTAAAATACTTACATTTGTTGCCCATCCTTGAAAAACATCGGCTCAAACATGGACGAGTCGCTCTTCATGGACACACAGGTGGGTCCAGGTGAGTCCGGTCTCTTCTGTGCCTCAGCAGGGCTACAACCAAATATAGTAGAAGGTATATAAAAAGACCCAGAATGACTAAACAAAAGACATCAAACAACACACCACATCATGACAGGTTAGGCTGATCTTAAAAGCAAACCACAAAAAAATCACACTACACTGTAAAAAGTAATTTGACAGAAATTTGAAGAATGTATTTCTTGAGTTTTTTTCTGCCAAAAGATTAAACACAAAAAAAGTTTATCACTCAATTCAGAAAAAATAGCATTAAAACTGGCTTGTAATCTTTAAATTAAAATAAATGGTACATTATATTTTTTGATGCGATTATTTAAAAAACTGAATTCTACGGAGCCCTTGAAGTCCCAAACAGTTATGCCCTGAAGTAAATATCTGTGCGATGAACTTTTTTTTTTTCTGGGGGGGGAATTCAAGGGCTCTCTAGATTTCTCCTCTTTGTAACAACATTTAAAACCATATTCTTTCTGCTATTTTTTAAATAAAGCAGTTTTGTAATTTTTAAGTAAAACTCAATTTAACGCCATCAGTGTTAAAAATGTAATCACAGCGCGCCAGTAGTGGTTAGTGAGCGTGCCCAATGTATGGAGGCTATAGTCTGTCAAGTGGCCTGGGTTCAAATCCGACCGGCGGCTCCTTTCTCGCATGTCATTCCCTCTCTCTCTCTCTGTTCTGACTGTCCTATCTCTAAAAAAACTAAAAATAAACCTTGAAAAGAAATGTAATCAAAACTTTGGACTCTTTTTTTTTCATTTTAACAACATATTAATGAAATAAGAAACACAACAATCAATAAAAACTACTTCAGATATCAGAGTCTTTCATTTTTCTAGTCTTCTGACTACTCAAAGCACTTTTTACACCGCAGGTCACACCTACACATTCACACACTGATTGCAGAGGCTGCTGTGTAAAGTGACCATCAGAAGTAACTAATCCCATTTATACACATTCATACACATGTATATGCTGCAGATGAAGCAGCAGGACCAACTTGGGGTTAAGTGTCAGATCAACTTCATGTCTAAATTCATTTTTTTCATCCAGAGCAGGAATTCTTTCTAGTATAAGCTATAATTATCTTAAAATAACATGGCAAGCATTAACACTTAGTATTTTAAAATACTTACATTTGTTGCCCATCCTTGAAAAACATCGGCTCAAACATGGACGAGTCGCTCTTCATGGACACACACGTGGGTCCAGCTGGGTCTGGTCTCCACTGCCTCATGATGCTTCAACACAACATACACAGAAGTTAAGGTTACAGTTGAGCTTTGAGATGATGAACAGTCCTGAACAGTCCAAGAAGTTTAAATCTCACCTCTCAACTTTGGTCTGCTTATCATGATGAGTGTTACAGACTCCATCGTGGGTCTCCTCAGACACATTCATGGTGGAGAGTGCATCTTGACACAAACAAAAAGCATTGATTAATTTTTAAAATACATTTCAACCGAAGTCGTAGCAGTATGTTTACTACAGTCAACAGTTCAACTTTCTGTTTGATTATAGGTGAGGATACTTACCTCCTCAAGTCCGATCCAGATCAAGAGAGAAAACAGAAAAGACTCCTCAGTCTTCGTCTGCTCCTGTCAGTGTGACTTTATCCTTTTTTAAATCGTCATTGTTTAGTTCCAGACTACCGGTCTAACAAGGCTGATCTGTTCCAGTAAATCCACAGAGCTCCTGGAGCAGTTCCAGGTTTGTGTGTTTACACAATGTATCATATTTAATCTTTTCACCTGACAACTTTCAGCGTGCATGACATAAAAAACTGACATTAGGGAAAGAAAACAAAGGTTGTATTTCTGATGTGTAGTTATGATCATTACTTTTTACAGGTAAGTGTTAGGTACAATCACGTCGCCATACATGCAGTCTGGCATTGTCCCTGACCCTAAACACGCCCTGAACAGCGAATTTAAAATATAACCACCTGAGATACAGGGTTCAACTTTTTAATAGGACTGAATCACTCTTTAGTTCACCAGTCAATCCTTCAAAATGAATATGGAGCTGAATGCCAGATCGAAGTGCCTTAAAGGCCTCTGAATATTACTTTGGTGTCATCTATCTATCTGTTGCTGCCACTTTTATAGCTGCGCTGGACTATGGCGCTGTTTTACATTCTCTGAACATACAGAGCTTTGAGATTCATCACTAACTTTAAAGGGGAGATATTATGAAAAACCCACTTTCACAGTGTTTTTTGAACATTTATTTGGGTAACCTGAGTGTCTACTGACCCACAAAATGTGAAATAAACCCATCCAGTCCTTTGTTTGTGGTCTGTATAAGTCTTACAACACAGAGAAAAATGCTCCATTTCACATTTGCTCTCTTGTGATGTCACAGTGGGATTCTGGTAAAAAAAAAAAAAAAAAACCCTCCCCTCCCCTCCCCTGGTATCTCCACCCATGGACTCCACCCCCAGACTAGAACTAAACTTTTGCACAGTTCTGCCATTTTTATTCTTGCTTGGGAAGGAGTGATGTCTACCAGGAAAACTCAGGGGGGGCTCATTACATTTAAAGAGACACACACACCAAAACGGAGCATTCTGAGAGAGCTGGTTTATACAGGGTCGCTGGCTCAAGTCCAGATGCAGACCAAATCTGGGAAATTGGTCTGGTAAGTGTTGAGATGCCAGTTCACCCTCTGAGCACTGCCAAGGCCCTCTATACCAGCCAAGCAGTGCCTGCTGTGAGCAGCCCAATCACTCTGACATATCTCCATTAATGTCCTTTGGATCCTGTTTGTGCATGTGTGTGTAGCATGTCAACATGTTAACAACAGAATGTAAAATTGAATTTCCCCTTGTGGGATTAATAAAGTTTTATCTTCTTGAAGTGATATCTAAGAAGTGATCCAACATTGATTTAATTAGTCACTGTAGGTACCTTTATTCCGCACCATCTAACCTATTGGTTCTCCAGTGGTGGTTTTGGACTCAAAAGTAGGTCACAGAGTCGTTTTCAGTGTATAGCGGCTTTCATGAACAATGAAGCTGCTAAGAGTCTAAGGTTGGGCCTAATATATTTGTCCGACGAGCTTTCAAAAGAATACTGTGATACGTAAAAAAAAGTTTGACTGTCTTATTAACGTAAAAAAGATAATCAACTTAACTTATAATAACGTGCATTAACTCATAATCACAGTGAACAAAAAATACAGCAACCCAGCTCACCCACTCTCTTCCACTGAGAACAAAAAGTGAACAGGTGAGTTAAATCAACACATCTCCGCCCATAACCATGTGACCTGACATCCCCCCCCTACTCAACACAATCCTAATAAATGATATAATAATCAATAACCCAAAACACCAATATATAACAGACTACCTTAACCTTAAATAAATACCACAAGACAATTATATCAATCCATGGCTCCAACACAGTGGGTCGCTAGTTTAGGAAAAGTGTGTTATAAAGTCTATGAAGCACTTTGAGCACATTCCTGTCACATGATTTGTACTCTATGAGGTCATAGCTCCACTATTTTTTTTATTAAATTTATCCCCCTAGCTGAAAAATAATGATTTCGGTGGTGGATCCTCAGGCTGGAGAGAGAACAACTAATCTATTACGATTTAAAACAACTTTACATGCAGTGTTTAAATTATCTGAAGAGGACACCGTGGTTAACATGTTGTGAAATTGGAAACAGAAGCTTATTGCGCACACACGCGCATGCGCAGATGACAGGTCAGATGACGGTCACGTGGTTCAGGCAGTCAGCTGATGCTAACCAGCCGGACGGTTCTCCTGCTGCAGAGACGGATCTGACGGTCAGACAGGATGCCTTTCTCCGAGCTGTATTTCAACGTCGATAACGGCTACCTGGAGGGGCTGGTCAGAGGATTTAAAGCTGGCATATTGTCCCAGGCGGATTATTTAAACCTGGTTCAGTGTGAGACCCTGGAAGGTGAGTGCAAGCTAACTGCTAACTGACAGGGCTAACGCTAAGCTAACGCAAGCTGTCAAAGCTGGTGAGCTACGAGACATTTCTCATATTGTCAGTCACGTATGTGTGCTTTCTCACCGGGATTTCTTTCTTTATCACGTAATACCTCGTTCTAAAAAAAGAATAACTGAGACTAAAGGTGAATAATCGTTTGATAATGGTTCTTAAAGGTTCATAAAGGTTCATAAAGGTTGATATCTGCTCAGCTTCAGGGAGCTAACATTAGCCTGTGATCACTTCTTAATGTTGGACTTTCTAGAGGAAGTGAAATTACTGTATGAAGAGATGATGTATTCACAGAAAGCTCAATCTATAACATTATGTTACCAGCACTGTAATTATAAAGCCGCAGTTTTATTATTCAGTTTTATTATTCAGTTTTATTATGGTCATTAAAAGGTAAAGTGAATGATGTTAGACATCAACATAACTGATCTTTTATTGCAATAAATACTTATTTTCTGATAGTTAAGCTTAAATCTATCTATCTATTTATTTATTTATCCATCTATCTATCTATATCTCTATCTCTCTATCTCTCTATCTCTCTATCTATCTATCTATCTATGTATTTATTTATTTATCTATCTATCTATCTATATCTCTATCTCTGTCTCTCTATCTCCTATCTATCTATCTATCTATCTATCTATCTATTTATTTATTTATTTATCTATCTATCTCTATCTATCTCTCTCTCTCTATCTATCTCTCTATCTCTCTATCTATCTCTTTATCTCTCTCTCTATCTATCTCTTTATCTCTCTCTATCTATCTCTCTATCTCTCTCTCTCTCTCTCTATCTCTATCTATCTATTTCTTTATCTCTTTATCTCTCTCTCTATCTCTATCTCTCTATCTCTCTCTCTCTCTATCTCTCTCTATCTCTCTCTCTCTATCTATCTCTCTCTCTCTATCTCTATCTCTATCTCTATCTATCTATCTATCTATCTATCTATCTCTATCTATCTTCTATCTCTCTCTCTCTATCTCTATCTATCTATCTCTATCTCTCTATCTCTCTCTCTATCTATCTATCTATCTATATCTCTATCTCTCTCTATCTCATGATGCTATGACATATAATGTAAACAATACCTGATACAGGTGTGCTGCACATACATCTTTTTCTGATAACGTTTAAGATAAGATATAATTTATGGTCCTCAAAAGGAAATTTGTCTTGGACTCTGTCCTGCAATTACAAGACAATTAAACATATATAAATAGAGATCATAGAAAACATGTAACAATTCTACAGGTATACATAAAAAACACCTTCCTGCAGCTGGGACATATTGACATGTTGCACATCATCCTACATGACCTGTTATTCAGAATATTTGTGGACATCTGCTCAAATCAATGTTTATAGCAGTTCAGCCTGGTCTTCTCCCAGAGGGTAAAAGCTGTTCAACATCAACATAACTGAGCTAGTATTGCAATAAATACAATCTATCATTGATATATGTAACAATCGTAATACTTCAATACACATACATCCTAATTTAAGGCCCAGTCTCTTTTACTCTGCTGCACATTTTGACAAATACAGGCAGGATTCAATTAGAGGCCTCTACACATTTATTGTTTAAATAAATTGTGCATCAAAAAGGAGAAAAAGCAGCAAGACAAACAAAATAAAGGTGTCATCTGTGCAAGAATGACGGAATAATGCTGCTATGTGTTCAGACCATGAAACAGGTTTGTATGCTGTCCTTCAAAGCAAGATCAAATCCGTGATTTACAATTTACAAGTCTATATCCCATATTTGCTTTGTAAATAGTTTTTGTTTGTAAATAGTTAAAGAAGGCCTGACTCATGGACATCTATCTATCTATCTATTCATGATTTCCTGATGCTGTGAAACATTATGTAAACTTTACTTATAGTAGTATAAATGTGTGGAATTACTGCACAGAGAGGGTTCGACATTTTTGGGGACAGGATCAACCTCCCAGGAATTAAACCTGTCCACAGTTTTGCTGTTTAAGGAGAATTTTACACTATTCATTCATTTTAAAAGGTTGTCATCAATTGAAATGCTGAGGCTGTTTTAAAGAATAGTCAGCAGATATGTAAAAAGTACATGATAATTTTGACAGTTGGTTAAATAATGTAAATAAAATAGTACGGTATAAAGAAGCACCAATGAGGAAAATCAGGGCCGATGTTTGAAATTACAACAAAGCTGATTGCCAATTCAAATACCGATGTTCATTGCATCATTTCTTTCGGTGTAAGACTCCCACAATGCCAACAATTTCTCTCATGTTTGATGAAAACAAGTCAGAGTTTGTTCCAACAGGTGACTTCATCTGCCCAATAAAAAACCTCTTCTCTGAATCAGCAGTTAGGTTTAGTAGATACTAGATATAACAAATAAACATCGGCCACTGACATCTGTTCATGCCACATTATTTGC